TCCTCAGCACCTACTACTACTACTACTACTACTACTACTACTACTAATAATAATAATAATAATAATAATAGAAAAAAGAAATAATAATAACAGGGCCAGGTAGCTCAGTGGTGCTGCTGCCTGTCTCGAAAGCACAGGGTCCTAAGTTTGATCTCTGGCACCAAAAATAAATAAATAATAAACAAATAAAAAGAGTAAAAAAAAATTTTTTTAAAGAGGCAAAAATTGAGATTGAATATAGCATAGATGTGTGGGCGACACCAACCGCAGACCACCTTTACAGGCTGCAGGAGAGGAAGTGAAAAGTTCACCTTGTCCTTCCCTGCAACCAGCCTGTTGGTTTTTTTGCAGAGGTTTGCTTTTTTTCCCCCCCATTCAATAAAAATAGCTCAATGGGACAACATATCATAGCATTCGTGGAAATAAAAACTAGGAATCACATCATAGGACTTTCTGCTGCAACCCTGGCGCTGTTCCCGAGGCGGCTCCAAATCCTTGTGATTTATGGGGAGCTGAGGCCCCGGCCGCCCCAGGTGGGGCCCGGCCTTGGGGAGGAAGGGAGGGGCGGCTCGGAAGCATCAGCTGTTTCCCTGCTGAAGCTGGGAGCTCAGCTCCCTCCCGGCCGCCCAGTGCTCCGCAGAAGTTTACATCACAAAGGGTCCATTCAGGAAGCCGAGGTTGGAGGCCAAGGGCCTTATTTGAAAATGGTGAACCTGGGCCCGGCCTGGTTTCCTGCCTCGAATGCCCTCTTGGGGCCTGGGACCCGCGCTGAGGGCGGGGAGGGGCGGCTCCACAGGTTACAGGATGTGAAAGTGGGGACTGAGGTTAGGAAAAAGAATAAAAGGCTGAGGCCAGAACACACCCAGGCGAGGCTGAGTGCAGTTCTCCTCCTCCTCCTCCTCCTCCTCCTCGGGCTTCCTGTGGGTGCTCTGGGAACATCGTGTTCTGGCCGTGAACTTGGCCTGCGGAGCCTGCTGCACGCAGCCCCTGGATCCTAGCGCGGCGCCAGGGCCCGTCTGGCCTCGTCCCCTGCGCTTGTGCACCGCCTCTTCCACCGCGGCCCCTGCGTGTGAGGCCCCCATCACCTTGCACGCACGGCGCCCGGGAGCGCAGCCTGTCACAGTCACACCAGCACTTCATGTCCCCCGGAACCAAACACCCGGGGTGCCGGATGAGACTCTAGGGAACACGAGGAACTACTGTCCGCATTCGTTTCCTAGAGGCTTCTGCATGCGGCCTGCTGTCGCTTCAGGGGTGACTGATTTTAAGGCATTATTTCAAACCCTTGAGCCGGAGATTTGTCTCAGTGGTTCCGCCCTGCCTCGCTGCCTCTCAAGCACAAGACCCGAGTTCGATCTCCGGGACCAAAACAAACACACAAACACCCTTGAAATCAAAAGTCAGCCATCACCTTCAAAGTTTCTCTCCAAGGAAGTTTGCAAACAGGTGCTGTATGGAGGGAAGAGGTGCTGGGGATTGAACTCAGAGCTTCACACATGCTAGGCAAGACCCCACCTACCCACCCGCCTACCTACCTGGGAGCTACACTTCCAGCATGGAAAAAATTTTCTCTCCCCACCTCACCTCCCTTTTTTCTTTTTTTTTTTTTTTTTTTTTTTTTTTTTTTTTATTTTTTTTGTCCTGCTATGTAGCCGAGGCAATCCCCCTGCCTCAGGCTCCCTACTGAATGCCTGTCTTCTTGAATTAATGAATGACTATAATTTCTATCTATGAAAAGATTCCCTCCAGAGCTGGGGATTAGCTCAGTGGTTCCAGCACCTCACAAATGCAAGGACCCAAGTTTGATCCCCAGTACCAAAAAAAAAAAATTCCTTCCAATGCTGAGGTTCTGGGTCTAAAACCCATAGTCATTCCTGCCCAGGATTCCTTGAGCAACAGAAACTTCATGGAAAGAGTAAAAATAGGGCCAGGGATTTAGCTCAGTGGTTCCACTGCCTACCTCAAAAGTACAAAGACCCCCTGTTAGATCCCCGAAACCAAAAAAAAAAAGTACCCATGGCAAATGTTTGTTGAATGACTGAGAGATGCCTGCACTACGAAAGCTTGGATGGCCTTTGGTTTCTCACAGTGGCTGCCCTGGTCCTCAATCCCCCTATCTCTGAGCAGTCCTCACCCGCCACCCACCTACCTCCTAGGCCGATACCAGGTTGGTAGGGAAAATGAGCCATAGACCTCACCTCTTATGCTCTATCTCAATGAAAGATCAAAAATGACTCTCCAGAGATCGAGCTCAGTGGGCCATGCCTGCCTCACAAGTGCATGGTCCTGAGTTTGACCACCTGCACACAGACAGACAGACAGACACACACACACCAAATTACTCTACATGTAGAGTTCAGAGATGGCATAAAACTGGGCATGGTGGTGCACACCTGTGATCCTAGCACCCCGGAGGCTGAGGCAGGAGGATCTCAGTGAGTTCAAGGCTACCCAGAACCACTAGTGATCCTCTGTCTCAAAAAAAACAAAATGAGAGAGAGGGAGGGGGCTGAGATCTCCAGAATCTGAAAACTTTTTTTTTTTTTTTTTTTTGTTACGAGGGATCAAACTCGGGTACTTGTGCTTTTGAGGCAGGCAGCAGAACCACTGAGCTAAATCCCCGGCCCACCTTCTCTTTTTTTTGAGACAGGGTCTCACTATATAGTTGAGACTGACCTGGAACTCACTATGTAGCCCAGGCTGGTCTCGAACTCACAGCGATCCTCCTGCCTCAGCCTCATAAGTGCTGGGATTATAGGCATGCGCCACCACGTCCCAGAATGTGAAAACTAAGGCGTGTGCTCTCACTCATGCCGCACTGTCTTCCTCAGCCACCAGGCTTTCCAGAGGTCCTGGCCACTCCCCTGGCCCCGCCAGAGCCCCCTGCTCCCCACAGGCACACCCTTCCCTCTGCCTGCTCCCTCTCCTTGGCTTCCGGGCCGCCCCACAGAAGCCTGATTCACCACCACTGCACGGAAACATAGAATTAATCGCGGCTGTGCCCTGGGTGAGCGAGGCCATTACAGCAGCCAAACCACCACTTACAGCTGGATTTCCATGGGAAAATGTGTTCTGGGCTCCAAGCTACCAAATTACATGTGGGACTCGGCACACCCAGGTTCAAATCCCATTTTAACACTTCCTCACCGGGTGGTCAGGGCTCCTCCTGAGCCTTAGTTTCTTGCACGGTTTGTTGTTTTGTTTTGTCTCCCATCCAAGTATTAACCAGGTCTGACCCTGCTTAGCTTCCGACATCAGACGAGATTGGGCGCGTTCAGGGTGATATGACCGTGCACTGTTTTGTTTCGTGAAACAGGATTTCTCTCTATGTAGTTAGGCTAGCTTTGTTTTATTTTATTTTTGGTACCGGGGATCAAACTAGGGACCTTGCTTGCGAGGCAAGCGGCAGAACCACTGAGCTAAATCCCTGGCCCAGCTTTAAACTCACTATGGAGGGCGGGCTGGCCTGGCACTCTTGGCGACCCTCTTGCCTCAGCCTCCTCGGTGTTGGATTACAGCAGGTTCTGGGGCCGACTCAGGAGACACCTGCGAGGACTTCGTGGCAGCTGCTCACAGGGGGCGCTTTGCAGCGAGACCTCAGAGACCTGATCCCGGAAGGTCAGCTCCGCTGGCCAGCAGTCAGCTCCGCCCAGGGCCTGGGCCGGTCCGAGCCCTCCAAGCAATCACGGCGCACGCGCACTGCTCGCCGCCGCC